CCCTCCTGAAAGAAAATGCGAAAAAGGAAGAGAGTAAGAGTGATGGTGAAGAAATTAAGTTTCAAATAACATCCATATTTCATTGCGCTTCAAAAATCCACCAATCATGAGAGTTTAATCGAGTAAATATGGAAAATAAAGGAGGATGGCTAGGAAGCAGAAAATAATTTGTTTGTAGAATTGCCTGGTGTTAAAGTTCTGAAATTACTATTAAAGAACCCGCTTCTTTAAAAAAAAATTAGGATCAGGTAAGAACAGAATGAAAATTACCACAATGGCTACAAAATCTAATTTTGTTCCACCTCTGAAAATAGAGCAGAGCTGAAAATATCTATCAACTTCCGACTGGCTCATATTCTGTGCACGATCCATGTATGGTACACATGCAGCGTTTTGGAATCATCGATACATCTCCATGCAATGCAAATACGACAAGATATTATCTCAAGATTTCTCTCATTGGATTTGCAAGCTTTTGATCCCCAAGATTATATTTTATAGGTAACAACTATTTTTTCGAAACATACAAATATTTTGTATAACATATAAAAACTAATAACGATTTATTATAACTTAATAATTTGAATTATTTATTAACGTTAATTACAGGTGATTTTTTTCATATTTTCTTATTACCTTATTAACAAATACATGTGAGAAACTAACTCGTTTATATCTTCTTTTTTTAATTTAAGAAACGAAAAACATATTTATTGGCTTAATTACTTAATTGGATTGCTCGTCTGAGCAAGGATATCAAAAGATTAATTTGTATTAATTGTACGTGCAATACGTTTGGGTAGGTTCACGTTCAAATAAAAAAAAATCATATTGATGTAGTTCGATGTAAGTGCAAATAGACGTCAACGTAAGCGAGGACATCGTTTAAAAGTATGATGAGTACAATTTGTTTTAAGTGTAACCCACTAAAGTTTTAAAAAATTTATTTCAGCGACGACGTCTTTTAAATCATTCTACGGATGATCGACGTGAGGCTTAAGGCTTTAGGAAAGTTGTTAGATAAGTTGTCACGGGAAAGTTTAACTGAGTTGTTAAATATGACATCTGTAAAGATTAGGACAGAAAGAAGAAAAAAGTATGGCTGGAATTACTTGGAAAAGCACGAAGGTCCTTGGAAGTCTTGTAATCCGCATGAAAAAATACATTGTTCCTTCCTTACACTTTAAACAAAGATTATATTTAAGGTTTCTATTAATCATGTTTATAGAATTTGCACAATTTTATAAAATACGAATCCTACCAGAACTGTGGTTTGAATGTCTGAAACTTGTGGATTGCAGTTAAAAATTAATACTTTAAATGGACTAATTTTCACAAATCTGTTTCAGTTACATATTTTTCTTTGTTGGTTTCGTCGTTTCTGTTAGAATAAAAAAAACCTTGCCCAATAAGACAGCTTTAAAGTAAAACATAAAAACAAAATTAAACAATAAAAAGGAAACAAATCTAAAAAAAGATTTTTTGGGGATCGACATTTGGTCACACGACACACAAGAATGACACATCTTCACGGAAAACAAACACTTTGAGCCCTGAAGATGATCTCAATAAAGATCGAAACGTTGGCATGATAAAGCAAATGTTTTTCTAAAACCTACGTCACACCAGACCGCACCTCACCATCACCAAATAATCCCTGGCTAACGGTCACTAAACGCCACATATTTCTTTCAAAAAATTAAACGATCGGGTTTATACAAGCAGAACAACTTTCAATTCTGTCTGTATCAGTCGCATAAATAAACAATAATTGATCACAATCGCTCCTTTGCAAAGGCTAGTTAAACCAATATAAGAGAGCAACTGTAGATCATGCACAGCCCCAGGGAAATAAAACGTGCATTCGATACGATTTCAATCCGAACTGAAATAAATATATAAATAAAGCATGCTTGGATTACTGGATATAAATTCAAGCAAAATTAACGATATGTACTAAAAAACACGAAAATTCAAGTCTGGAAGATTGAGATCTGGGCCGACAGCTTATTGGATTAAACTTTTTCTTAATTTATTTTTTGGAAGTAACATTTCTAAAAATTCTCTGAAATGTCTACCCTCCGTTCGTGAAATCGTCACAAAATTTGGTATGCTTATTAAAAATTGAACAAGGTTTACGTTTTATCCAATGCGTTATATAAAAAAAAGTTCATTTGATTTAACTTTTATCAATAATTAATAGCTTCTTTTTTGTCTTTCAACAATTAATTAGCTCAAAAAAGCATTACTTCAATTAATTATGTTGAATTAGAAAGTGATTGTTTCTTTGGAAATTATATTCCTATTAAGACATTATTAGTTATAAATATCATCGCTCGCAAAAATATAACTATAAAGAAAAAAGTCTGTTCAATCAAGAAATCCGGCTATCTCAGGAATTGTGGAATAAATTATTGTATGTTGGGTAGTGTTAATAGTAGGGGGAAAAATACCACCCTGGCTTACAATAGATTGAAAATTTGCAACGTGATGTTGACGCTTGTTTCCGTGAAAACTACATCATAAATTATAACCTCTTGTATTGCGAACCGGTTCTTGTTCGTTAATATCCGGCTCAGCCTTTAATCCAATGTAAATTAAACATGTGTGGCATGGGGAAAAGCTAATTATTTCACAACGTCATCAACATCGAAGCATCGGTTGTCAAGTTGATAAAGAAAAACGAAGAAGTAAGTATTACGTCTGAAATTGTAAACAAGTTTTTAAATCAGTCCTTCGGATGAAAACTTGTAAATTCAAACAAATACATATGCTAATGCCATACATTTTTTAACGATTATTTTCTAACGACAAATGTTTTATATACAATCTCTACCTTTTTTCCTTCTCACTCTCTCTCTCTCTCTCTCTCTCTCTCTCTCTCTCTCTTTTCTCCTTCTCTCCTTCTCTCTCTCTCTCTTCCCCCCCAATTTATTTTTTTGTTACGAGGGTTCCCAACAGCAGAGGTTATATCAGCCATCGGGGTGCCGGTGTTTTTGAAAAAAAATCCCATTTGTAAGTATGTCGGGTTCGAAGGAGGCGATGGGGTTGCTAACCAGATGGTGTAGCGACAAAGGTCTTTCGATAAATCCTGCTAAACTGGAACTGATAATGTTCAGCAGGAGAAGATCAATAGGNATAACCAAAACACTCCCCAGGATAAAATGGTCCACAATCCTGGGGTTTGTGAATAGGTCCAAAAGGTTTATGCAGGACTCGTGAGCCGACCAGGTCCCGGACCTTTTAGGGATGGGGTACGGGTCTACTCTGGCTTTTACCCCCTCGGGTCCTGGTCGCCCGCCCTGTGTAATATATATGTCGGGTTCGAATGCAAGGCAGCTGGATTCGAACCCGGGACCTTTACACAGTGATGTGCGCCGTGTCAACGCCTAAACCGTCGCGGCCACCGACGCCCCTCCCAATTGATTATTCAAAGTTATATTATATTTTTTTGTATTATAAAAAGTTCTATCAGATTTTTAATTTTGCCAGTCCTAAATTATCTTATTTTTTTTCTTGAAGTCATGTTCACTTATCAAGTTTTAATTACCGAATAAATTATGTTAATAAAATTATACTTATGGTCTTGGTTGAAATGAAAAAGTCAGGATAGCTCAAGTGGTTAGAACAGCGGGGTATTCAGCCGAAGGTCGTGCGCTCGAAACCCACTCCTGACACTTGCTTTTTATTCATAGGTATTTATATTTTTGTAAGACTCCACGCCTGTAGATTATTTATATATATTTTTACCCCTTTTTTTAATTTTTCTAAAAATGATTTTCATTAAAATAGGGTTAGTTCAAGAGATACATGGCTTTGATTACAACCCAATTACATTCACACAATTCATGGAAATATTTTATATCAAGGTTGGTATTTTGTGGGGTTAGAATTTTTGAATTTATGCTTTTTAAATGTTTCGTGTTGACATTGGGGAATGAGGGAACTTAATTTTTTATATTGTGGTTTTTATTGTTTAAATCAAAACCATTTGTCTCTTGGACTAACCTTATTTTAAAGAAGACTTTTTGGAAAAATAAAAAAGTATAAAAATATACATAAAAAAGTTTTTTTTCATTTCAACCAAGACCTTAGATAAAAAGTATAATTAATTATAACAATTAATCGGTCAATAATGTCTACTAAATACATGTATGGATTAATATAATATTTACAGAAATACTTACTTCACTAACAGCTCCCCTTGGCCACTTCATTGAGAATGGAATCCTGATTATACGATATTTGACAATATGGCAAAAAGGGGGAAAATTGTAAAGGTTGTCGGTTGAGATAAGGAGTGATGTTCGAATGGATCTAAGTCACGATAGGTCAAGTTGGAGGTTACTGTTTGAGAAGAAAAAGTTGCCCAGTTGATTTGTCAACTATTATTTTGCAGCGCAGTTCAATATCCTTATTATGAATATTGTTTCATTAATACATATTATAAAAGCTATTTAGAGAGACCACCTAATGAACCAATCGAAATGCCAAAAGTTGTCTGCTTGGCCATTCAGGGTCGTAGCTAGTCGTACTCCATCAAGCAACAGGTGCATTTTGCAACATCTGCAAACCTCAATGCAATCGTTTTCTTTTTTGTTTGCATTTTAATTAAAAATTAGCTCTGTTCAAATTTGTTTTATTTAGTTGGTCACCAAGAAGATCTGTTTTTTACGTCGAATAGTTTATCCTCTATTTTGGCTATAAATTGCGATCATAATAGACAAATAAATAATTTGCCTCTGTGGTGGGATCGTTGTACAGCCCAGGCGATAGTACGACATTTATGAACGACGAAATTACGTCCGAAGAGGATTTGGAGGGCGGAGAGCTTGCCGATAAAGGGGCCGTGGCACAAAGGTCGAAGAACAAACACGCGGGGGCAGTCTGTTTGCCCAAGATACACCCTCGGAAATCCGCCTTTGGTCAACCCTTAGCTTTCAAAATAAACAATTTCGTTCTCTCCCCACAGGTCAATTTAAAATAAAACATTTACTTACGTTGTGAGCTTGACCTTCTGATGATATTTTCGAGGAAGGTGTTCTGGGGAGCGACAAGACCCCTCCTTCCGCCTGGCATGACGGCTTGATGGTACTAGGGCTAACAGGGGCGTCAAGCCGGCGGCTCCCCCTCCCCCCACCACACCTCATCTGAAACAAAAAATGACAATATTGTTATAATTGTTCTACCAGTAGTAGAAGGAAAGGTCGCAGAAGTTATCTACATGAGTCAAGTAACGTGCAAGTGTTAGGAGATAACCTTGCACTGAGGTTAAGGTGAACTCGATAAGGCATGGTACAAAATAACAGTATTTACTATAAAAGTAACAACAGTTGTAAAACTTAGTGTAAAAAGGAATTTTGAGAAGAAATCTATCAAATCTACCACATAGATATATTTACTCTTTTCGTTGAACAAACATATCCTAGAAAAAAGTAGGTAAAGTCAAAGTTAAATTTGATTTGGAGACAGATTTGGATCTTTCAGACTACTGAGATAAAATATTACAGTAAAACTAAACACATTTAATCCATTTTGTATCTGTGTTGCTACTACGAGGTGAGCAAGTGTATGCAAAAACAAAAATTTATGGCGTTCCTTAAAAAAGGAAATCTTTAAATTACACTCCTTACGTATTTCTTAACTACGAAACAAAATTGCTATTTATGTGCAATTTTAAATATACCAATAAACTTTTACACCATTCTGGTTTGGCACTATTTGATAAATTTTAGTAATGATAATGCATAATATGTAAAACACTATCAAGAAAGGTGGGAGGGGGTTGGTAAAAAAACAGAGTTTAACAAATATCAATTGTAAAATGTATGTAATTTTAAATAGGTACTGCGGGAAACGAGGCGTTCTATCCAATAAAAAAAGTATTTTGTCGTTTTTATAGATGGAAAAAGGTGTAATTTTAATTTCCATTGAGATACCATGAGAGCTGAAGTATTGAAAATTTAACACTTGTAATTATGGAAAAATGTGTTCATCTCCAGATCCTAATTAATTTAATGATTTAAAAAAAATATTCATGGAAAATTATATTCTATTCTAAATAAAAACGATATTTGCGCTTGCAGGAACAACAGAAGTAATGTGCTCTCGATGGTGAAATAATTGTTTTCTTATGTTGCGTAACGTTTATGATCTGTTCATCTTAAAACTTGTAGTTATTCGGAAATCGTGAGATGCGGTCTGGTGTGATGTAGGTTTCAGAAAAACATTTTCTTTATCGTGCCAACGTTTCGATCTTTATTGAGATCATCTTCAGGGCCTGGGATTTACAAACATTGTTTACATTTAACAAATACATGTAGGATGTGGAAAAAGTGAATTTATACAACCCCACCCCTTCAAAATCCAACGAATATAAACATAAAACAGCAATATCGCACTGGCACTCTCAACACGACATGCAAGAATGGCACAATTATACAGAAGACTAACACTTTGAGTGAGTAGAAATACTTTGATTAAATATAAAAAATATATTTTGCATTGTATAAATTAACTTTTTCCACATCCTACATGTATTTGTTAAATGTGAACAATGTTTGTTTACAAAACTAGAAAAATACAAAAGGTATAAAGTTTCTATTTAGGATATGAAAAATCGCTTGTTGTACGAAGACTGAGATTATGCGTAGTGACGTGCGATACCAATCGATATAAGTAAAGTATCGAGCGTTTTCTTTCGATCATACTTTGGTATCGAACAATGTCATTCGATACAAGTACTGTATCGAGTACTTTTTCTAGTATCGGTAAAAATACTCAAATAGATTTTTCATCGAATGTTCAAGTAATGCTGAGCCGTTATTTTATGTTCGAAACTTACCTTTCATCAAACTGGGAGTTGACTAGTGACTGTTAGGAGCGCCTACAAGCAGCATATGTCAACAAAGTTAATCGAGGCTCGAACTGGTTGGTGCCGGTTGGTAACGCTTCTGATAATTCTGGTAACTCATAATTCTTTCCCGCGTCGCACCTCACACTTTTAACTTCAGTAATTTTTTATAAAATGTTTTTGTCTTCAAGGACGTAAAAAGTGTTCACCTTCCTTCTCATAGGTAGATACGTAATCATGTCTCCTCCCTAGAGTAAAGCTGAGGTTGTTTTACTAAGAAAACTGAATCGTCGGCATCTTGTCAACTGTGCGGGAATAAATCTAATCTTTTCAAACATTTGAAAACAAAATACCCGTTGATCAATTTTCTCAAAACACGATAACGATAAAATTGAAATATCCATTTTGTTGAAATGCGTTGACAGCTTTTCCTTGTTTTTACCTACGTACTCACTGTATGAGAAAATACTTGAATATATGAAAAAACTGCAAATTTTTGTTTATTTTAACGCATGAGGGTATTTTACCCATAATCGATAGTGAGTAAGTTGATCATTTATGAATAAACGACAAAGTACCCATATGAGTAAGTACTCGTTAGTATCGAATAATTTCTGTCGATACTTGAGTAGTACCGAATATTTTCTGGTATCGCATGTCAGTAATTATAGAGTGGCCCATTGGGGCTGTTGAGAATGAACCTATAAGCGTGAAATGTATAAAATAAAGAAAAAAATGTATCATTGAACGCATGATTTTTTCGTCACCAACCATCTAAATAAATATGTTTAATGAAACTGGAAAAATCGACAACAAAGTATAAATTAAGTTTTTATGCGATACTATGAATTACTATCAGTTTAGGTTAAAAAATATTGATCAATGTAATAGCCCCACAGTACAAAAAATATACTAAATAATTATTTTTTTAAAGACTATAAGCAATATAATTCATCTGAATACTGTCGATTGCCGCAACGGTTTAGGCGTTGACAGGCGCTCATCACTGTAAGATAAAGGTCCTGGGTTCGAATCCACCGGCCATGCATTCGAACCCGACATATTTACAAATGGGCTTTTGATATAACCTCTGTTGTTGCGAACCCTCGTTAAAAAAATAAATAAAAAAATCTTGACATAAAAGTTTCAACCAGCAGTAAACATGCTTAACATTCTGCAATGTAGAATTCATTCAAGAAATGTTAAAGTTTCAGGAAAAGTTAAAGTTCATTCAAATATATGCAATACTACTAATGTTTGCTCCAAATTAAAAAAAAACATTAACGTTTAGAACATTTCAAACCGAATACATCCAAATAGCCCAGTGTAGGTTAACATGACGACGTTTTAGACGTAATATCACGCAGTTTCTATAAATGTTTTCAATTCCGTAGCTGAGGTTTTACGCAAGTGGAAGGAGAAATTGCAAATGCTGACCATTTGCCTGGAAAGCGGCATTATCCTAATGGCAGCGGGTGCGCTGCTGAACACGGAAAACTTCCAATGTTGCGAAATAAACCGGCTGACCTTATTAATTTACATGTAAATAATTAACTTCATTGAACGCAGTGGTCTTGATGACTCGTAACTCGTCAATCGAGTCATTTAAAAATTTTCTCTATCGGTTTCATCTCTTTAATTGCATGCCACCATCATTCTAAACAAAAAATATAAATATAGATTTTATTTCATCCTTGAACGTCGCTCAAAATTAATTATCGAGCCTTTTTACATTTATGAATGATAACCAAGACTAATTTTCAGAAATGAAAAGCTGACGTAAGCTTTGCCCTAGTAAAACAGCATAGATTAGATTATTAAGAGGTCGCGTATTGTGACCTTTCTCGGTCTATTGAGCTCGTCGAAACATGTAGTCTTGCATTTATTAACGTTAAAAGTCAAATTTGTTGTCTACAATTGGATATTTTTTAATCGAATATCCATATCAATAAAATCTAAGATTCATCAAATCGACAAGGACAGAAAAAACAATCAGAAACAAAAAGAACAACAACGAGAAAGCAATTTTTAATATCTTTAATTATTCGTTTTTTTAAATTATTTGTATTAATGGAGAAATTGATACCGTCGTAGCGTAGGGTAGTAGATATCGTCCACTCTACTAAGCTAAACTCATAAATTATTTTAATATTATAAGAAAATATTTATATTTAACCGATTATTAGAAATAGTTAGTCCTATTAAATTCATCGTTAAGCTGGTCATATATTTTTGATTTTCTATACCAATTTTTTGGCACAATCATGTAGGCCGGTGATTCCGAAAAACGGAAAGTTTCATACAGTTTTTAGATTTTCTTTTTTCCGTTCTATCGCCGTCTTCAAAGCGAAAAGATAAAACATCTTTCTCATTTTAAGATGTAATCAGGAGGAATGAGTGTTATTCCAGGAGATCGACTAGCCGCTTATCTTTTAATTTTTTATCATGAGTGCGTCCCACATGAGGATTAGAAATGTATACTTCAACGGAAAAATTTACTACAGAAAAACACGCCTTTTCTATAATGTCAATAAAACACTATAGCTTTTAAATGACGAACAATGGTTTTTATATTGTACTGTGAATCATACAAAAATATTTGATTTTTTGAATTATCTTTATTTAATTTCCATTGAGAATTCACACTTGAAATAATTGAATCGCAAATTTAACAATATTTTTTGACAATAAACTAAATTTGAATTGAAAAATAAATTAAATCGGTCTCCGTAACAATACTGCATTTTCTTACATTATTTATCAAACGGCCACACCCATTCTTCATCCTATGACAACCAATAAATTAAAGGTTTACGAGATGATCCATCGATAACACCGCTAAAATTGGTTCGTTCAAACAGTGAATAATAATGTTGGTACAGTCAGGCAAAATTTGGCACTATTTGTTCAAATTATTTATTTAATCTTTACCGTGTTCATTCTTTAGTGGTAGTTTTTATGTTTTATTCTGGATGTATTTTATCCTAAATACATTTGTTTACTATGTAAAACCATTTTTTCCTTACTCATTTGGAGACGTAGGGCTTTCTCCCTTTAGCACTTGAACGTCTATTGTGCTAATAGATACTCCGGAAGAGTTCTTTTTTATGAGGTAGAGAATTCTTCTCAGCAGTGTGGTATCAAGAAATATATGGCTCAAGAACGGATTTCCCAGGTAGGATACCCTTGTCCTAGCAATTGCAGTTCAATTCCATAGGACATTTCTTGTAGTTTTTGTCTGTTAGACATTGGGCTATTTTTGTTGTATTCACTTGTTTATAAGTTAACTGTAATAAA